CGATATATATATATAAAGAATGAATAACAAAAAGCAAAAATGAACAAATAAATAGTATATTTATATATATATATATTATATACACAGTATGTGTATATATATATATGTATTCAATCAATTATCAGTGATGGTATATGTGGCCAAAAAATATTACAGTTTCAGTCTCAGTATTGTACATGTGGCTTTTTGTTTTGTTATTTATGTATGTTCACCTAATGTAATTGTTCTTGTCCTAGTTTTTTTTTGAAACTTTAAGGCATAATGTACCCAAATACTAATGTAGAGATATATGTGTATTCATTTGGTGTGGTGTTATTGGTTGGCTTGAGGTTACAGTTTTGCAAACCAAACCCATTGCATGCCAACCAACCCTATTAGGTACTGTGTAAAATGAAAGGTGCTTTAAACCCCCCTTAAGCTACCTTTTTATTTTTAGCAAAATAAAACAGAAAATAGAAATGGGAATGCCCCAAAAATGTGTAATGAACATATTTGATTATAGTTTCTGTATTGTGCATGTGTTTTTTCTTTTGTTATTTATGTATGTTCACCTAATGTAGTTGCTTTTGCCCTATTTTGTTTTGATGACATTTTAAGGCATAATGTGACATAATGTACCCAAATACTAATGTGGAGGTATATGTGTATTCATTTGGTGTGGTGTTTTTATTTGGCTTGGGGCCTGGGGTTACTGTTTGCAAACTAAACCCATTGCATGCCAACCAACCCTATTAGGTACTTTGTAAAATAAAAAGGTGCTTTAAGCCCCGTTGGCCCGTTAAGGTACCTTTTCATTATTTGGGAAAACATAAAACAAATAGACATACAGATGTCTCAAAATGCCTAAGGCAAATGTTTGATTACAGTTTCAGTATTGTACATGTGTTTGTTGATGTGTTATTTATGTATGTTCACCTAATGTAGTTGCTCTTGTCCTAGGATTTCTTTGGTGCAACTTCAATACATAATGTACCCAAATACTAATGTGGAAATATATATGTGTATTCATTTGGTCCGGGGTTATAATTTGGTTTGAGGTTACTGCATTGCAAGCCAAAACCAATGCATGACAACCAAACCATGCTTTGGGTTACTTTTTAAAACACATTTAAACATGGTGGGTGTAACATGTCAAAACAATTTGCACAATAAACAACCATTGGTTTGTTTTTTTGACATGGGAAAAACACTTACAAAGAATAGTAACCTATATTTTGGGTTACTTCTTTTAAAATGATCCCAACAATAGATCCCTGTGGTTATTTGTGAGCAAACCAAGGCACCAAAAAAACATATTTTCTATTACGGCCCACAGTGTGCTTTGCACAACCAATTTGGTTTCTACTTCCTTTTTGTGGACCCCTTAAAATCGTCAAATAGGTTGTGTTTTCATTGGACTTCCACACCACTTGGTTGTTTCATGCCATGGGTTGCTTGGGTGATAGGTGGCTCATTGTGCAGCCGCTTCTGTCCATTCTTGGGCTGAGATACCGCTGCAGGCTATTGATTTACAACCACTCATAGATACAAGATGATACAGGCTAATAAGTACTAATAAGCATATATCATATATATATATATATATTATAGGCTATATTTGGATAAACCTAAGTGGCCCAAAGATAGATTATCTTGAGCATATTCAAGACCCATTATTTCCCATTTCCATTAATACTTCAGGGGAAATGGGGAAGTCAGCCACATCCAGCAGCGCGATGAAGAAGCCAGCTGCCCGCAAGCGACCTGCCAGCGCTGTGAAGCGGCCAGCGTCAAAGAAACCGAGGACCCCTGGGTGGAAGCTGGGCTGGTCTGGTGGGCTTGAAGGGTTTTTGCATCGTCCACTTAGCTTTATGATGCATGTTGATATTGCCCAACGCCAAGGGTTTTTCATTAATAGCATGGCCATTTCCATTTCATATTGATTCATGTCTGCATACGCATCCGTTCAAGACCACTAGACACACATGGTGGAAACCAATGGTGCCTTGCAGCTTTTGACTCAAATAGATGCTTTTTGCATCTGATGATGAAACCACCTGTCCTGCTAAAGGCACCTCAGGTGTTAGTAGTCCCAAAAGAAAAACCATAGAAATCTCTGATTTGGTGCAGCGGCTGTGCCGGTGTCATAGAAAAACATGTTTCACCCAATTTAGCCATGAGAAGCGGAACATCGATGCAAAACGTACTGAGCTGTCATCCTTGACATCCTCTGACCGAGCGCCTTCTATTAAATGGTGAAGAACACATTTTCTGATTAACCCCTTTTTTAAGTAATTGTAGCTTATTTGGGCCTACTGGGATATGACGAGGTTGATCAACAGCCACTCAAACAAAGGAACATGCTGTTCGGTCTACGTTCAATTGCGGAAACCTTTTCTCATCCTCCAGCAGCAAACGCGCCCCTTTACCATAGGATGATGGTGCTGAAGGACATGCTGAATCTGGGTTACTCCTGGCTTCTGAATCGGAGGATTCACTGCTTTTGGCTTCTGAAGATGACGGGTCCCGCCTGAGCCCTCCGAAAAGTGATGATGATCTTTTGCAAGCCTCCGGCCAAGAGTCAGAAATCTTGTTGGCATCTGATGCTGAAGATGTTATACCCAAACGTCAAAACAATCAACGACGTCTAGTGGAGACTACGTTCTTGGGGAAAACAGTTTGCATTCATGCTCTTCAAGCCTTACTTGGAATTGGAAGCAGCACCATCCAAAGGACGTGCAGGGGAGTCAGCATACACCAATACAAGACGCAGGACTGCGCCCAAACATCCGGTCTTTGGGTTCAAGTTGGATCACAAGACATCAGCCAAGTGGGTTGGCGTAGTTATGTTCTTGTGGGAGGTGTACCACTCCAGCGCTGAAGTGATGCCTACTGACTTGCAGAAGTTCCTGAGAAGAGGGATCCAGATTTTGAAATACGTCGGGTCGAACACTTCCTCAACACTTTGCAGACCTTTTCCACCGACCCTGACATCAACCTTATAGGGCCAGGGACTTTTGCTGGAGGCTGTCGGTTTTTACAAGCATCGACAAGAACTGAACTATTTTGGGAGTACTACGCTTCATGCTCGGCAAAGGGTGAGGATCCAGCTAGTTACACCACTTTCTTGCGTGTTGCAAACTCTATCCTGAAACCAGGAATGAGGGGAGGACACCTGAAATTCCGAGGGGTCAACCAGCATGGGAAATACAATACATAGTTATGAGTTAAAACTGCTGATCAAGAACTGTAAGAACCAGCAACGGCGTGAAGAAGCTTACAGATCCTACAGCCACCACCTTTTGTCACAATGGCTAGACCGCCAGCAGTACTGGTCATATACAGTAGAAGCATGAGCCGGACGTGGTTCAAAATGCAATCTGACATGCAGGAGAAGTAACTTTGCCTGATGATTATTTTTGGTTTTAGTTTCATTCCTTCTACTCTAATGGTCCCCAGGAATTCCCTTTCAACACCATACAATTTTTAAAGTAAACAGTTTCCAAAAGCTGAGGATGGCCATACAGAGTGTTGGAACCAACTTATGTTGCTGCAATATTGATGGCATGGATCAATCGAAATTCAAGATACCTCGTGTGGCTACTCGAATCTCTGGGTCAACATCTAAGCTTTTCCAACGCTTGTTCAGACCAACCTTGCATGTGTCAGGGGCACGGTGTCATGGTCACATGCTCAACTTTTGGGTGGCAGACGAAGACCTGAGAAAGGATAGCAGCACACAGCAGGAAATCCTGAGTCGAACGCTGTCTGATATTTCCAACAAGCATGGGTGCTTACCTATGGGGCTGATTTGTCAACAAGACAACACTTGCAGGGAGGGAAAGAATCTTTTTTTGTGGGCCACATGGTGTTGCTTGTAGCACTTCGCTGCTACTGCTTTTGCGTGCGCAGCTACCTCAGAGTTGGACACAGTTTCTCGGTGACAATGTCAAACTATGTCGTGTTTGAACCAATGTTCAAGTGTTTGAAACTTGTTTTTTCCAAGATGTCAGCGCATCAAATCAAGGTCATGAGGATTTGGATCAAGCTTTCTCACAGCAGGCTGCTTTGATATGCCGGCATGTCTGAAATCATGGACCAAAATGACCTGGAGAGCAGGTGCGCAAAAATAGATGAAGTCGCTGAATGGAAAGAGTGGGTAGCGGTTGTGGGGCTGCACCTCAAAGGGTTACGCGCTTTGTTTCTTATTAGTTGGAAAAGTTTCTGTTTACCACTAAACTTTCAATTGCATGTTATCTTATATTATCATAATTTGGTTTTGATAGCTGCCAGCTCAAGCAGTCTAAGGACAGGTTGGGTCCATTCGCATCTGTCGACGCTGTGATGTTGATAATCGCTCAACTGGCTGGTGTACAGTGCAAGAGTTGCCAGGGAAACGAGACAAGAAACCTGTTGATATTTTGTTGATTGCAAAGAAAAAATGGCTGACGCAGAGCCATATTGTATAGTGGTTGTGATGTCTCAAGAACGAGCCAGTTCGCTGGAACATGGTTTTCAACAACCATCTGGGGTGGCCGCCCGACGGCCCATTTCAGAACAAGTCCAGAAAAACATATCTTCCATAGCGCCTAGATGTTTGAAACAAGGCATCACCAACAATGATGCTTTTTCATATTTCATGAGCTGGAGCAGGGGAGAATTGTCCCGGCCCCAAAGACCATTTTCATACGTTCATTTGCAGAACCGTTGTGCATCCCTTTCCAGCCCCAACTTGAAACACCAAGTTGGACCCCACCAGCTCGAATTAAACATGTTGATTTGTCTTTTGGTGGGGATGATGAGGATTCTGATGATGATGTTGAACATGTAGAGGTAGGGTTGGGAGCCATCGCGGGTGTGTGAGGAAAAGTAGCGCTGAGGGTGTCACACTGACTGTTTAGTTACCCCCCTTTAGTAATAGCTAGAGAAATTGTTCTGTCAGCCCCCCATCGACTGTCTCGCCTTTTCCAGGACCAGCAAGCGTGGAGGAGCAGAACAAGAAGATCTTCTACTGGCAAGCGATGCTGAGCAGGTGAATCCGACCCTTGGCAAAATCATCATGGTATGGCAGGTGCCAAAGGTATCCCCTTAGAGGAAGGTATCTAGTTACTGGCTTCCAGATTCAAAGTATATTCAACTGAAACCCAACATGCACCCTTCTACAAAAACTCCGGTCATAAACCAACCCAGACCAAGCTCAGGATGGAGAACGGGGAATCCGAGCAGGAGATATTGCTAGCTTCGGATGAGGACACTGGCACCAAAGCGGAGCCTCTTCCAAAGGTGGCCCAGGTTGGAGTTCCTTGGATTGAAGCGGAGGCGGCGAAGGTCTGCATGGCTGTTGTCACCCCTTTCATTTACTGGTGGGATAAATAGCAATCAAAACATATCAGATATCAGGGGTGATATATAATTCTTTACAATAGTTACGGTACTTGTTAAGTATCCTTCCTCCAATTCAAATCTTATATAAAAATATTCTAATGGGGATAAACTATGGGGCTATTGGGATCTGGGTATTTGGTTTCCAAAGAAAACATCCCAGGTCATGAATTTTGTTCTTGAAGGTTTCCAGAATCAAACAGTGAAAGATCTTTTCGAATCCACGTGCGCTACCCTGTTCAAGCCTGACCACATGGCTACCATCAAAGTCGGGTCTGTTTGCAGTGGCTTGGGTGTAGCTGAAATGGTGTTTGACCACTTGCACTATGCCCTGCAAGAGTTACTCCATGACGGGAAGGGTGTCCAGTTGAAGGCTTGGCCACAAATTGGTAGTAGTATGTTGTATTCCTTGGTTGTGTTCAAACTATCATACCAAGTTAACTCATGGTACCCACTATCTCATAGCCAATCCCTGTCAGTTCGAGACCGTTTTCATGTGCGAGATCGAGGGGTGGAAACCCTAAAGGTCAGGCAAGGTTATTTGGCGCAAAATAGGTAAAAGTGATTTTGGAGGCAATTTTCTAACTAATAGTTTATTATTAAGGAAAACATTCTAGGTATTTTTTTAACTACATAGTCTATTTCTAAGGGTACAGTTCAAGGTAATTTTTGGGAAGTAGAAAAATTACCTGCAAAAATTACCTTGAAATTTTGTACTTTTTGATTGGAAAAAGATAATGAATTTCGACATGTTCTTAACATTGTACCACAGTAAAGTGACCATTATCAATTGTTTGAAAGGTTTTTAAACAATATGTTTCTTGATTTTGTGTGAAGCCAGTCCTACATGATTACTGGAAGTGCAACAAAAATATATTGTTTGAACTTATACTTGTTTGAGCAAATCAAAGTTTTTATTTGTGAAGATCAAATCTGATTGGATGTTTTGAAGATATGTTATACAACATCAAAGCTACAATGAAGTAACCCCAAGCATACATTCTGTCTTTGAAAGCTCGGTGAGGACATCCATCAAAGTATAATTGAGTTTTTGGTCTTTCTTGTCAAAGATTTTGACAGCCGGCGGTCTTTGACAATCTCTGCCCAGTCGCTCCTGGGAGCACTTGCCCTGCTCAGTTTCACAGGAGCATCACAAATCGCTTTTGGCAATGCTGGGGATGAAGTAGCCACAGCTGGTGTAGAGGAAGCACTGCTACCACTACCACAACTACCACTACCACTACCACTACCGCCACAGCTAGCTCCAGTGCCAAACTGGCTCCAGGGCCTGCTCGACATGAATTGACTCATCTGCGAGTAACTCATCCTTGGTGACCATGCAAGACCATGGAACTGCCCTGCTTCTTCTCAATGGGTGTGGCTATTGTCCTGGCATGATAGTAACCATCTTTCTGATAGACATCATCTCGTCTTTCTGCTCATTCAAAGCTTGCTGGATTCACTGGATTTTTTCCACGACATGATGGAGTGAGGCAACCCAGTAACCTGAGATTTGTTGGTGCAAATCTCAGAGTTCTTCTTGAAAACCTCGCACTGGGTATTTCCAGGAGCAAACACAGACTCGCCACTGGTGTTCTGCTGAAAGACTTTGTTGATGAACTGACTCGTAAATAACCTTGGGGGAGGAGAATTCTTGGAGCCCTCTTCATAGAGCTGCTGAAGATCTTCTGGCACCTGGCCACTTTTGATCATTCTGGCACATTTCCTTACCTTGGGGTAGCTTCGATGCTCATCATCAGCAACTGTTGCATCCTCCTCTTTAGGCTCCTCATCTTCTCCTTCTGCATGGTCATCAGGAACTGGCTCATCCCTGCTCTTCTTCCATCCTGCTGCCATCTCCTTGACAGTCTTCGCTTTGGCCTTGGCTTTCGCCTTCAGCTGCATCAGGTCTTTTCAGGATTTTCTTCATTGTGCTCTTGGCTTTTGCCTTTTGAGCTTTCATTGGCGAAGAAGTAACCCCAGGAGCTTTGCTGGCAGCAGCCTTGGCTTTACCTGCTGCCTTTGCCTTGACTTTAGATTTTGCTTTCACCTTGGCTTTGGCCTTTGCCTTTGGTGCTGCAGTATCTAAGAATCTAAGTCAGCTTAAGGGGCAGCTTCTTCTGGAGAAGCCTGTTCTACAGATTCTGGTGCTGGTTCAGGTGGAGGCAAAAGCAAGCATAGCATCAGGTGGACAGGCCCCTTCATGAGGTTACCAACAGGGGCGACAAGTGACAAGTAACTTCAATCATGAGCACCACTGTGCTACATAGATGGTACGTGCACTTGTACACTTGACATAATTTCCAACCTTTCACCAAAAAAGTACCCCAAATACTAAAGACCTCGTGCATGTATCAACCAACCACTGTGCTATTTATCATTCACAAAAGGTGTTGCATGAGATTTTCTTATTTTTGGATGGTAATATGTTTTTGTGAAATGAATATTTGTCCTATGCATGCAATAATGGAAAACAATACTTAAAGATATGCTGCGACTTTAAGAAGTGGCCCGTGCTCAAAAACATTAACAAGATATAAAAATATATAAATAGAAAAAACTATATATATATATATAAAAAGAATGAATAACAAAAAGCAAAAATGAACAAATAAATAGTATATTTATATATATATATATTATATACACAGTATGTGTATATATATATGTATTCAATCAATTATCAGTGATGGTATATGTGGCCAAAAAATATTACAGTTTCAGTCTCAGTATTGTACATGTGGCTTTTTGTTTTGTTATTTATGTATGTTCACCTAATGTAATTGTTCTTGTCCTAGGTTTTTTTGAAACTTTAAGGCATAATGTTCCCAAATACTAATGTAGAGATATATGTGTATTCATTTGGTGTGGTGTTATTGGTTGGCTTGGGGTTACAGTTTTGCAAACCAAACCCATTGCATGCCAACCAACCCTATTAGGTACTTTGTCAAATAAAAAGGTGCTTTAAGCCCCGTTAAGGTACCTTTTCATTTTTCGGGAAAACATAAAACAAATAGACATACAGATGTCTCAAAATGCCTAAGGCAAATGTTTGATTACAGTTTCAGTATTGTACATGTGTTTGTTGATGTGTTATTTATGTATGTTCACCTAATGTAGTTGCTCTTGTCCTAGGATTTCTTTGGTGCAACTTCAATACATAATGTACCCAAATACTAATGTGGAAATATATATGTGTATTCATTTGGTCCGGGGTTATAATTTGGTTTGAGGTTACTGCATTGCAAGCCAAAACCAATGCATGACAACCAAACCATGCTTTGGGTTACTTTTTAAAACACATTTAAACATGGTGGGTGTAACATGTCAAAACAATTTGCACAATAAACAACCATTGGTTTGTTTTTTTGACATGGGAAAAACACTTACAAAGAATAGTAACCTATATTTGGGGTTACTTCTTTTAAAATGATCCCAACAATAGATCCCTGTGGTTATTTGTGAGCAAACCAAGGCACCAAAAAAACATATTTTCTATTACGGCCCACAGTGTGCTTTGCACAACCAATTTGGTTTCTACTTCCTTTGGTATGTTGTTTTTAAAGATTTTTTCAACCAATAACATAGGTTGGTTGTCATGCAATGGTTTTGGTTTGCAATGCAGTAACCCCAAACCAAATTATAACCCCACACCAAATGAATACATATATATATATATATACATATTTACCTCCACATCAGTATTTGGGTACATTATGTCTTGAAGTTGCATCAAAGAAATCCTAGGACAAGAGCAACTAAATAAGGTGAACATACATAAAGAACATCAACAAACACATGTACAATACTGAAACTGTAATCAAACATTTGCCTCAGACATTTTGCGACATCTATATGTTTATTTGTTTTAATATTTTCCCAAAAAATGAAAAGGTACCTTAAGGGGGCTTAAAGCACCGTTTTATTTTACAAAGTACCTAATAGGGTTGGTTGGCATGCAATGGGTTTTATTTGAAAACAGTAGCCCCAAGCCAAATAATAACCCCACACCACATGAATACACATATACCTCCACATTAGTATGTGGGTACATTATGTCACATTATGCCTTAAAATGTCATCAAAAAATCATAGGGCAAGAGCAACTACATTAGGTGAACATACATAAATAACAAAAGAAAAACACATGTACAATACAGAAACTATAATCAGATATTCGCACTAGACATTTTTGAGACATTCCCATTTCTATTTTTTCGTTTTGTTTTGCAAAAAGATAAAAGGTACCTTACGGGGGGCTTAAAACACCTTTCATTTTACAAGGTACCTTATAGGGTTGGTTGGCATGCAATGGGTGTGGTTTGCAAAACTGTAACCCCAAGCCAACTAATGACCAATAACACCACACCACCTGGATACATGTGTATTTATACATATATAATATACATATAAATAAATAAATATATATATATACAGCCACAGTGATATTTAGGCACATTACGTCTTAGAGTTTCATCAAAATAATCATAGGACAAGAGCAGCACATATAGTACGTACCGTAAGGATAGAAGATATTCCACGAATATTTCATATAGAAGTTGCCATTTTGGGGTCCAAAAAGTACCAACCATGCACATAGAAGATAATGCGTGTTGCAAAAGTTGTCCCAAACAGGTTTTTGGGGGTTTCCAGCCACATTTTTTGGGTATTATTTTCTATATGGTTTGTAAATGGCAGTTGCCTTTCAACATCAACAATTCATTGGTATTTACGGTGTTTCTTGCCATTTTGACCAAACTTTCTGGGTTACTTCCGGGGAAGTGCATGTATGCCCAAATGCCGGTATGTTGCCAAAGTAGTTCCACATTGGCCGGATTTGGGGGGAACTTTTGCAACAAGGCTTGTTGGAACCATCTTGGGAAAAAAAAACGCAAAAAACCCTCAGTTTTTTGTGTTTTTTTGGGGCCGATGTAAAAGTTATCCCAAGAAAAAAACAGATCATATAGAAGATAATGGTGTTCCATCATGACTCATTCATGGTTCAATCGTCCAATGAAATAGAAGATATTCCCAGAATTAATTTTACCAACATGTTTATACCCCAAAAAATCAAAGAATATCTTCTATATGATCAGTAAACCCTTGAAGCTGCAAATAATTTCTTCCCCAATCCCTGAATCTGCGTTTGGGCAATGCCGTGTTAACATTATTCCCACAGGCCTGATGCATGCAGGTAAACCTTAAGGATTAAAAAGGGCTGGCACTGCTACTAGTTCATATGTGCCCCATAATGTCGAAATAATATATTTGGTTGACTATCGTCTATCTGATCGGTAAAATTTCATTGTTTTTCAGTGTACATCCCCAATTCATTTTTTTTGACAGTATCCTCTATTTGATTGGTAAAAGTACATGTTTTTTTTCCTGGTGGGCTGCTCCAACCGAGGACCCCCTTTGAACAAACCATGTCTTGCCATATATTATATATATACTTAAAATGGCATATAGGTATTTGTTAATGTTCTATGTGCACACCCTTTTAGTGAGTATACAGTTGAGGTCCTAATACCATAAGAAGAACCAGGTCCCCTGGTGTTG